CACACCTGAAGTCATCAAGGAACCTCTTCATCATGTGCCACATCCCAGTGTTCTGCTGGATCTCAGCCGCTGTTCTCGAGAAGATGTTGAGTCCAGCAGAGAGTGGAGAGATTCCCAAGACTCTCACTCAAATGTACACACACTTCCTGATCCTTCAGACCAACATCAAACGTGAGAAGGACTATGAGAAGAAGGTGACAGATGAAGACATGATCCTCAAACTGGGGAAAGTGGCTTTTCAGCAGCTTGTGAAAGGCAACCTGATCTTCTATGAGGAAGACCTGAGAGAGTGTGGCATTGATGTGACAGAAGCATCAGTGTACTCAGGATTGTGCACTCAGATCTTCAGAGAGGAGTTGGGCTTGTATCAGGGGAAAGTCTTCTGCTTTGTTCATCTGAGCATTCAGGAGCATCTAGCAGCTCTATATGTGCACATCTCCTTTACAAACCACAACAGAAATGTGTTAGACCAAATCACCAAACAGAGTTTGTTGTCTAAAGTTAAGGATTTGTTTCAACTTATTTTATTATCTGAGCTGCATCAGAGAGCTGTGGATGAGGCTCTACAGAGTAAAAATGGACATCTGGATCTTTTCCTGCGGTTCCTTCTGGGTTTGTCAGTAAAGTCTCATCAGATTCTCCTACAAGCACTAATGAAACAGACAAGAAGCAGATCTGAAAGCACTGAGAAAACAGCTGAGTACATCAAGAAGAAGATCAGGACCATTGACTCTCCAGAGAAATCCATCAATCTGTTCCACTGTCTGAATGAACTCGGTGATCGTTCACTAGTGGAGGAAATACAACAGTATCTGACATCTGGAACAATAAAAGAAGCCAAACTCTCTTCATCTCAGTGGTCAGCTGTAGGTTTTGTGTTGCTGACATCAGAGAATAAGCTGGACAAGTTTGATATTAATACATTTGTTGGAGAAAACAGTAAAGCTGAAAAACTGAATGTTCTTCAGTATCTGCTGCCTGTGATTAAAGTTCAGTAAGTATCACTGAGAACAATCACTTCACTGTTAAAGAAAAGAAAAGCAAAATCTCATAATAATATGAAAACGTACTTGAAACACATACTTTAATGACAACATTATAAATCTTCCCTGATTATTATTATTTTAAATTTCTGAAATTAATTCATTTCTAGTATTTAGCAGTTGTTTAGAGACAAGCTGGACTCTAAAGCACCTGCCAGTCAATGTCTTTAACGTGGATTAGTTTGAAATCAACAAGTTTAATGTTATAAATGATGTGGATTTGATCCATGGTAAAGCTCTTTATTACAAATTTGATTATTACCTTTTTTATTATTAATAAAAAGGAATGTTTGCTCTGTTGCACACTTAAGAGTTTGCTATTGTGAGTCCATATCATGTCCCACTTACATTTTTTCACCTTTTTTATTTAAATTTTAGTTTTGATCTCTCTACAGTTTGAGAGATTGTGGCGTCACAGATGAAGATTGTGCTGCTCTGACTTCAGTTCTGAGATCAAACCCCTCACAGCTGAGAGAACTGAATCTGATTAATAAAGCAATCAGAGATTCAGGAGTGAAGCTTCTCTCTGTTGTACTGGAGGATCCTCGATGTAAACTGGAGAAACTGAGGTAAGATCATCTCTCTCATAGTCACACGTTATTGTCTTCTGTAAGACCTAAAGCCTTTATGTACATTTTAGAAAATCAGTTTTTAAAATGTTAAGTGGACTTACTATATCTCAGCATAAAAAAATATTCTGATAACTGAAGATGAAGCATGAATAAGGCATGTGACAATATTACATCATACAATTTAATTTAATGATAAAACCCGATAAAAACCAAACAGATAATGAGGGCTTTAAAACTGCAGTGAGCTAAATGATCGAGCGTTCACTGTTTGTAGAGGTCTTATTTGACACAATAATGACTTTAAACGATCTTTTGGGGTAATTTCTCAGCCAACATTTGATGTGTAATTAATTTGCGATTAATTAATTGGCACATTATGTCATTAATTACATTTACACAATTATTACCTAATTATAATATAAAATCTGACCTGTTTCTTCTGTTTTTGACCCAGCAGCTGTTTACTGGAGGTTTAGTTGCTTCTGGCACTTCATTTTATAGGATTTTAGGATTAATACTCCTTTCCTGGCTGCTCTTTTTACTTATTTTTGTACTTGCTCTGAAATCAAAATCAGCATGTTTTTTATCATCATTATTATTATTGCTACTACTATTATTAAAGGCGATATTGTTTCAACCTCTACCACACTATCAGTTTATCATACAGTGATTAACAAACATGACTAATGAAGATCATCTTTCCTCTGTGCCTCTGTTATTATTAAACTTCTAATATAAATAGAGATTTCTGAAGCACAGGTGTTGAAAAGCTTTTTGAATTTCTTTATTGTTTTCACAACTGTGATAAAATTCTAATGGAAATGTAGACATATTTACTAGTCTGTTTAGGATTGTGATTTGTACCTGTTGATCTGATCTGATCTGATCTGATCTGAGAGAGTGAAGAGTGTGTCATTGTTCTCTACAGGTTGAGAGATTGTGGCGTCACAGATGAAGGTTGTGCTGCTCTGGCTTCAGCTCTGAGATCAAACCCCTCACACCTGAGAGAACTGCATCTGTCTCTGAATAAACTAGGAGACTCTGGAGTCACGCTGCTGTCTGCTGGACTGGAGGATCCTCGCTGTAAACTGGAGATACTGAGGTAAGATCATCTCTCTGATAGTCATGTGTCTTTATCCTCAGTAAGTTGTATAGTTTGATGTAAAATTGTTTAAAATCAGCTTGTAAAGTAAAATTAGATAAATACACAATGACTGGTATCTATAAATATGATCTGGTACCAGTGTTCATTATTGCAGTTTTTTTATATATCCTTTAATATAACAATATTTCAATTCATTTATATATTCAATAATTGTAGTTTGTTTCACTCTGACTACAATGGCATCTAATGATGATAAATATATAAAGCATAATAATGTCATGTCCAGCTGGTAGTCCTCATCCCTCTTGGCTGGTGTTTTAGTCATGATAGCATATACAGTACTCAGCATAAATAAATAAACTCCCTCTGAACAAATGCTAAAGATTTGATTTCATAATGATCAGTAATACAGTTCATCCAAAGATGGCAAAACTAAAATGCGTTAAACATATTCATATATCTAGTCCCTGATCATGTGATTTTAACAATAACAACAAGGTCTCCTTGCAGAAGACAACAGGCAGAAGACCTTCATACTGTTCTGACTTAGTGTGCTATATCTTTTCTATCTGATCAGATTTACGGTTCTTGTATAACTTGCTATTTTAAAAAATCGGATAGATTTAGCTGTTATACTAATGCTGTCCTATTGAGGGGGCCACAGTATAAGAAATCCACTTTTACGCTCTGTTATATCAAACGTTTGGAGTGAGATTACATCTGTTAGTGGAGGAGCCGCTCAGATCTTTGCAGCAGCGGCCCCTCGCTTTTGTTAGCAATTCAATTTCACATATTGTTCATAATTGACCAGCACAAATAGAAATTATAACAATAATGGTAAATCTGATAAAAGACAAATTCATCCAAATAAAATAATTAGTTGTATATATTTAAAAAATATAAATGTATTAAAAAGTAAATAAATAAATATGGCCCCAAACAAACCACCTGAGCAG